ATTTTAACACGATATCAATAGTGTAATAATTTTATATTATCTTGTTTGTATTTTGTTTTGTGGCTATAAATCTAATATTTAAATTATTGATAATTGTAAAAGTTAATTTATTTTTAAGTTATGGTAAATTGGCATCAATATTTGTCTTGTTAAATAATTAAACATACAACTATATAAATGATATTATTTTAATTCCTATAAATAGTAATAACAATGAATAAACCTATAGACAGCGACTAAATAATATTTTTCTTAATGCTGAAAATATTATTATTTATGTTTAAAAATGGAAAAATTGAAATGGTTGAAGCCACGATCGTTGGTTGTTTAGCCAACGGGGGGGCCGGAGTTAGGTGGTCCAGGATTGTCGGAGAGTTGAACTGAACTTGGCGGGCATTTTGGTCATCGTAAGAAAATCGTGAATTTATTGAATCTAGAGTCTTAGCCGTAACAATTAGGTACATAATTATTTAATGATCATGACTATATATTTTTTAGTTCATATATATTAAATATTTTGTTCACAAAAAAATATCCATCGACGTATTTTTATAAAGATTTTATATATTAGCCATTCTTAAAACTGGCTATGACCAGATTCAAGTGAAGAAAATATAAAAACAAGCTTTCGTTATAATTTACAATCGTGTATACCTTTTAAGTAATAAAGAAATATAATAACAATTTTTTTTTGCTTTGTTATAATTTACAAATCGTGTAAAACAGAGTAAAGATTTATAATGGATAAGGGGACAAAATGCAAACAATGTGGGAAGGCTTTGAAAGAGTTAGTATTATAAGAGTTTTTTACATGGAGAACACAACAAAAATACGTTATTTTATATAGGAGCGCCATTGGTTTTTGAAAAAAATATTATTTTATTGTTATAAAAATTGCAATAACTAAAAAACCCATGATTTTTCCAAGTTTATATTTTTTTGAAATATATACAGTGGCGTAGATTTTTTTTATAAAATAAAAAATTATTATTTTTTTATTGCGAATAATTATATTTAAAAAACGGTTTCAATTTAGAGAAATAAGATAATATATTATATATAATACAATATGAATATGAATATCACAATGAAATATATTTATAAAAAAAGGAGTTTTAATTTTAAATGATCACATCGTTTAAAAATATATATAAATTATATGAACTAAAATATTAAATAACAATAAAAGAATAAAGATATATTGTATGTAAATAATTTCTGGCATAGTTAAATTTATTAAATAACAATAAAGATATTTTGTAAATATTTTCTGGCTTGGCATAGTTAAATTAGATATTTATAAATTTAATTATTAAATATATATTTTTAAACTATATAGATAGTTTGTAAATTTTAATTTTTTATAATTTTTAAATATGGATATCCGTAAGTTTTTTCGTCAACAACAAAAAGAAAAAGGTATATAAAAATTTAAGTTGTGTAATTTGAATTAGAAATATATATAGATATAGATGTTGCTCAACTATCCATAGCAATAAGGTTTATTGATATGGAATCAGGTAATTATAAAGTGAAGGAACTATTTGTTCAATTTATTGAATTACCTGACACTAAGTCAGAAACGATTGCTAATCAAATTATTAAATCACTTCAAAACCTGGATTTAAATTTAAATCTACTGAGAGGCCAAGGGTAAGATGGAGCTCCCTCGATGAGTGGCCATGTTAAAGGGGTCCAGTCAAGAATTAGAGAGCTTTATAGCACAGCTCTTTATGTTCACTGCAGTTCACATTGCCTGGATTTGATGATAACTCAGGCATGTGAAATTAGAGACATCCGGAACAGTTTACGTAAAAAGATTTTGATTTAATTGAAATTTATTAGATTTTATTATGTATTATAGATATCTTTATATAATTTTTATATATTTTTCAAAATTTAGAAACAATATCGTCGGTTTGTGACTTCTTTACCCCACCCAAGAAGAGGGAGATTTTTACTATAACGTTCGATGAAATTGATTCAAAAAATTCAAAAAAAAAATTAAAAAGATTTTGTCCCACAAGATTCATTGAAAGACAACAATCGGTGAAGGTTTTCATCGAGTTATATGAGGTCATTTTTGCGGCACTGGAATCATACATATTACGCAAAGAAAAAGATTCCGCAGATGCGGAAAATCTTTTACAGGCTATTACGAAGCCTCAATTTTTAATTTCAATTCAATGTGTTTATTTTTTATTTAATTATACATATGATTTTAGCAAAATGTTACAAAAAATTGATTTGGATTTAAGGGAGGTTATGAATAGGGCAAAGGATATTGTTAAAATATTAACAAATATCAGAGATAATGTGGATGAAAAATTTCACGAAATATATGAGAAAGTAAAGGAGATCGCTAATATGTTTGGGATTGAAATTTTTAAACCTAGAGTAGTTTCTAGACAATCCAATCGCTCAAATATTGATGCATCTACGATTGAGGATTTTTATAAAATTAACATTTTTATTCCATTGATACATTTTTATTTCAATTAAAGGAAAGATTTATAAGTCACAATTTTATTTTAAAAAGCTTTTATTTTCTTTTGCCGGTTGAGTCTGAATTGTTGATTACACTTGAAACGCGAGGAGGATATTAAGAACATCTCAGAGTTTTATTCTGATGATTTATTAGGGTCGTATGATAAGTTACTTTGTGATGTCGAATTTTGGTATAAAAATCTTGGCAGAATAGAGTACTGCTTTGCAGGCCCTTTCCATGTGTAATTGCACCTTAGATTCCCTGCCCAATATCAAAACATTGTTTTTTATTTTAGCTACTTTACCGATTAGTACCTGCACTAATGAAAGGTCTTTTTCAACTTTGAAAAGGTTAAAAACCTATTTAAGAAATAGCACCGGTGAAACCGTTTAAATGGATTAGCCCTATTAAATATTTATAAGGAGATTATTCTAGATAAAAATTTTATTCTAGATGAATTAGCCAAATCTCAGAGAAAAGTAGACCTCTCTTTATAAATTCAAATCATATAATTGTAATATTTTCTTAGTCATAAAATTTTTATATGTAAAACTTAATTATAATGAATTTAGTCATGATATTTTTATACTATATTTAATAATAGTATTGCACCTACAATAAGAATTATTTATATAATATACTCATTTGTATTAAATATAACTGTTAAATTATATTTTTTTAAATTGCATACAAGAATTACTTATATTTTATTGTAATTTTATTTTTTTAAAATATAGATATTAACAATCAATTTTTAAAATAGTAATCTGTATAAAATTTCTAATTTTGAAATTTATTTTTTGTATATAAAATAAACACATAGTTAAATAAAGGGTTTATACTAAATAAAATTGTAAAATTGTATTTTTTTAGCAAGAATTACATATTTTATTGCAATTTTATTTTTTTAAAATATAGTTATTTACATTCAATTTTTAATATAATAATCTGTATAAAATTTATATATTTTGAAATTTATTTTTTTATATATTATTAAAATAAATACATAGTTATATAAATAAAGTTAATAATAAATAAAATCTCTGCAAAATATTGTTATATGCAAAAATTTAATTAAAATAATTATTTTTTAACATAGAATAAGATATATTGAGTTGATCATAAAATTGGAAGGTTTGGGGGGAGGCAAATTTTTTTTACATCGAATAGATTGAATTAATATACAATTTACTAAACATTGATAACATTTTCAAAATAATGCTTTCAATCGCTTATTAATTATGAATTTGGCAAAAATTTTAATTCTAATATTTTTTAATATTTATGCTGGCCTGGGTATAATACACAAAATATTGGCAAATTTTGATAAGGGGGTTTGGGGGCGAAGCCCCCCAAGAATTTTTCAAACCCCCCCCCCCCTTGGATCAATCCTGGCTACGCCACTGAATATATATAATGTAATTGAATAATAAGATATCAAATTCAATGAAATTTTGAAAGCAAAACATCTGGAACTTTCAGGTTTAAAATTTATAATGCAAATAAAAATCTTTGGTATGGACCCAATTGTGCCTTCTTTATGCAAGTGATGGGGGTAAATCCCCCTAACCCCACCCAGGTTTAAAAAATTAATGTAATATTTTATTCCTATATATATGAATTTTAATAAAATAAAAAAGTTTTTTAAAAAATCAGGTGGGAAATTTTTACTATTCATTTTCATATCATAACTTGTAATAAATATTAATAAAATAGATAAGCATTAATTTCTCAAGGTTATTGATTTATTTAATATATTGCTTTTATAATTGAAAATAAAAAATATTTTTGAATTAGAGATTTCTTCCATATAAGCTTTTCAACTTAATTTTCTGTAGAGAGTAAAAAACCATTTTATTAAGTCTAATAATAAAAATTGTTTATTATTCAACTACTTAGAAACTTTATCAATATAGTTAAGTCCCAATAGGTCAAAAAATTAATTTAACATTAGATAATTTAACCAGTCCAAAAGTTATTAATTAAAAATAATGTTAAAAAGAATATAATGGTAAATTTTTTTTTCTAAATTAAAAGATCAAAAAATTAATTATCTCTTTCAAACTAAACAAAAATTAGGTATTTAAAAAATATTTATTTAAGAGTTTAATATTAAAAGATTTTTTTACAGAAGAGATATTTAAAATTAAAAATAGCGTATTTCTAATTAAGATTTATATAATATTTATCAAAGCTGAATAAAACTCCATAAAAAAATCATTGTCAGCTATTCCATTGAAAATATCAGTTAAGAAAAATTGAGTTATAGTTATTTTTTTTAAATAAAATTCTAATAGCTGGTCAAATAGACAATAAAAATGGGCCTACTCAATTATTGCTTTTTATAGTCCTCTTAAAGTATGTATTCTTTTGTAATTAATTTCAAAAAGTATCTGATAAATTTTTTCTTATCCAGTAATCACTGAATTGAAGTTTTACATGTAAATAATAAAATATTGTCAATAGGCTTATTAATGGCACTAATACTTATATAAATTAAAACAATTTACACTGGCCATGAATTTGTGCTATTAAATTGTAACCATATGAATCATAGTGACAAGGGGTGTAAGACCCTTGAGTACCCATCCAAAATGTTGATTGTTCACCATTCCTATTCATAAATCCAAACGGGGTCCAATCTACTGCCTGTTATGCTTTTACAATAGGTTAATAATATAAACGTGTAACCTCAAGAAATTGTGGCTTGTCTTTAAATAAAAAGTTCATATATTTGTAAGCAATATAAGCAAAGGGCAAATTTTTCCCATGTTTAACAGGTTTATTCAAAAACATCTGACGACAATTTGAATTTGAGATATCATAATATTTACAGGTATTTTCCCAAAGATTAGTTGCTTATTAAGAATATATATAATAAATAAATAGTAAATTACCATTAATATGCATTTCAAAATTTCCAAGCCTAGCTTTTGTATTGGAAATATTATTTAAGATATAAGTTGGATTCCATTGCAAACAAGCCCATTCGTTTATAATATCATTAAAAATGAATGGCTCCATAAATAAAGATATTTGCAAAATGCAATATAAGATTTAATGATTATAAGAATTATGATTTGAATATTAAAAATTATTTATAGGTCACATGCCCTGGTAGCTCAGTCGGTAGAGCGTTAGGCTTTTAACCTAACGGTCTTGGGTTCGAGCCCCAACCAGGGCGCTTTTTTAGATTTTTTTTTTTAATGTTGTTTAAATTTTGCTATCAAGTGCTATTAAAGTGCGCAACATTTTTCAGTAGTGGTAGCTTTACTACTTTTTCAGCACCGGTAGCTTTAGCCTACTTTTTGGTAGGGGTAGCTTTAGCGGGCTATATTTTTAAAAAAATAACCATCCCTCGCTATTAATTTAGAAAGTAGGAAAGTAGCGCTACGAATTTAGAAAATAGCGAAGTAGCTCTACCAATGATATATTCATTGAGGTCTACTTTGCTATTTTCAATTTTATATAATAAACGGAATTTTCTTATTTATTTAATGATGGATGAATAATAAATTTTCCTATTTTTACATAAAACTCATTTAGCAAGAATATATTTTTTATATTATAAATTACAAATATAAATGAATAAAAATTTAGTTTAAAAGATTTTTTATTGTGCACATAAATTAAAATACTAACCATATACTTCATAAACATAATTTAAAAAAAATAATGGAAAATTTTAGATTAACTCCTCATCTAAATAAATAGAAATTTCTGAATCACATTCATAAGATAATAAAATTTCTGATTCATTCATCATCAAATAAAGGAAAATTTATTATTCATCTATCATTTAATAAATAAGAAAATCTGATTCCCCGTCATTCTTGATATGCAATCAGCTAATAAATTATATTTTTGATAACGGGTTCTTAAAAATCCCTAAAATATATGTAAAAGGAAAGGTCACAATAGGCATTATTTTTTTTTGTTATTTATGTTAAGATAAAAAAGAATTAATATTTCTACTATATATACACTTCATAATGGCTTTCTTTATTACCTTGTGTACAACAATTTCTTGAATCCAGAAATTATCAGAAATTTTTTGCAAATGATTTAAATAAGGCATATCTGTAGTTTGATTATTCCTTTAAGTTCAAATAAATTCAGATGGAAAATGATTCAGTTACTGAAATTAGAGACCTTCAAGTGATTTGATTTTCAATAGTTTCCAGCCCAGGTCAGCAGTAAAAACAATTTGCAGGCCCAGTCGATATTTAATAAAATATTCAAACCCAAGCTCATCATAAGTTTCAAAAATTTTGCCCAAACCTATATCCAAAATTTTAATTTATTGTTTTAAATGAATAAATAAACAATATTTAAGTGTATTTAGGCTAGGTATTCACTTTGTTTGCAATACTGACATTTATTATTATTAGAAAAAAAAAATGCAATATATTTTTAAGTTAGGAACAGTTTAATAGGCTAAATTTAAATGAAAAAATTTTAGGCTTTTTTATCAAAAACCTGTCCTGGCCCAGGCAATATGGTATAAATTTAGGGAGGGCCTCCTTTGATCGTATTATTTTGATCGTAAAATGGTACCTTTGTCCATTTCAGGTCAAAATGGTCGATTTTTTAATTCATATGAATTTATATGCACGTAATTTTTCTAATTCTTTATATCAGATTAATGTAGTAATGTATACCTATTAATAAACATATATCAATGTATTATTTATTAGATAATGAATAGGTACTGATTTTGAATGCCTTTAATTGATGGAAATAGAAGCAACTATAAATATGATTACAATGTATACCTATTAATAAACTGATAAAAATGATTAAAATTTATTATTTATTAGATGAAGAAAGAAGAGCTACTGATTTTGAACTCCTTTAAATAATGGAAATATTTTTCTAATTCTTTATATTAGATTAGTGTAATAATGTATACCTATTAATAAACATATATCAATGTATTATTTATTAGATAATGAAGAGCTACTGATTTTGAATGCCTTTAATTGATGGAAATAGAAGCAACTATAAATATGATTACAATGTATACCTATTAATAAACTGATAAAAATGATTAAAATTTATTATTTATTAGATAATGAAAAAAGAGCTACTGATTTTGAACTCCTTAAATAATGAAATATTTTTCTAATTCTTTATATCAGATTAGTGTAATAATGTATACCTATTAATAAACATATATCATTATTTATTAGATAATGAAGAAAGAAGAGCTACTGATTTTGAACTCCTTTAAATAATGGAAATAGAAGCAATGGATAAATATGATTACAATTTATTATTTATTAGATAATTATAACTTATAAATAAAATTAATTGATAATTTGGTCAGAATATTATATTTTATTATACATCTATATTATAATTATACATAAGTTTTAAACAAATAAATATTTATTTATAATTTTTAAATTATATTGAGTAATTAGATTTTGAATATTCTTTTCTTTTGTTATATATTATCCATCATGATACAAGCACAAATTCCCTTTTGAAGTTGGAATATATTGTATATCTAAAAATTACAGTGTCAAAATATAAATTATTTATAATCAGATTATGTAAATGTAATAATCAGATTATGTAAATGTAATAATATAATTTATTTACTTAAATTTTCATTGTTGGAATTATGTAAGTCTAATAAAATTCCTGCATTGTTAATGTCTTCCAAGTCTAATTATATTAAAATATAATTTAAAAAAAATATTTGTAATCTACTTGTAAAAGTAGTTTGATTATTAGTGTGGTTAAATGCAAAACTTTGTATTTGGGCCACATTTGTTAATATATCTAAAAAATGTTTATTAATTTATACAATTATTTTTGTTACTTGAAATTGGAGGGTAAAAGTAGAGAACTGCAAAGTAATTTTTTCGCAACCCGAGCCCGACCCGAGCCCGAATTAAAAAAATTTTTTTGTCCGAGCCCGACCCGAGCCCGAGCACACATTTTTTAATCCAACCCGACCCGAGCCCGACCCGAATAAAATTTTGCAATTTAAGTTTTAATATTATAATAACCAAAAAAAAATTTATGTGTATTTATTCAGTTCAGCCACCTTAAATAAAAGTTTATTTGACGGCCATAATCTATTCAAGATATTTGCATTTTTAAAATTTGTAAAAAATATTATAAAACGATTAATATACAAGCGAATTTAAAAATTATAACGATTATATAATAAGCATCATTTATGCGAATATAGATATGATGTAAAAGTTAATAAATATATAAAAAATATAATGAACATATTATATTATATATTGACCTCATCAATATCATTATCAAAATTATCACAAAGTGAATAATTATGATATATAAATAAAGAGGCGTCCAGTTTATCTGGCTTTAAACGAGTCCTTCTCTCCTCAAAGGCCCTACCAGCAGCTGAAAACGCCCTTTCACTGCTAGCCGACGAAGCAGGGATAGCCAGGAATTTAAGAGCTAAAATACTTAAATTTGGAAACTCATAATGGTTTGTTTTCCACCATTTTAAAATATTATCGTCATCAACACATAATTTCGGATCTAGATATTTTTTTAGCTCGTCAACTTCGGCGCTAGCATCAGAATACGCATTGTCAGCCTCCCATAGAGAGAAGTCCAAAAACGTATCTACCACCTCTGTAGTTTCTTAAGAAAAAAATATTCAATAATAATATTAAGATATATATTTACATTATTATTTTTTAATAATTTTACATATTTGATGATTAATATTTTTTTTGATATATGATATTTTTTTATAAAATTTATGTAATTATCATTATTCAACATTGATTTAATAAAATTTGAATTTTTTGAATTTTATTTAGTGATAATAAAATAATTAAAGGAAGTACTGAAAAAGAAAATTTTATTTCAGTAATTTTAGGAAAATTTGTCTAACTTTTTTTTGGAAGTAAATATTAATCTAAGATTTTGTATTTATTATCTCCAATATTTTTTAAATATATACTCAAAATTTTAGATCTCAATTTTTAATATGTTTTGAGATATATCTAATCAAAATTTGGGGTAAAATAGACCCCACCTTTGTAGTTAAGGGAGTTTTTTCTACCTTTGTAGTGAAGGGTTAAAACAAATGTTAAAAAAGACAATGTATAGGCTAGTTAAATAATAAATAAAACTTACATAAAATATGTCTTATCTTGTAATTTACGAGAAACACAATTTAGTAATAAAATAGTTTGGTATCGGGTTGTTAGGTTTATAAAATAATAATTAATAATGACATGACATGTTAATATGATTGACATTTTAATCCTAAAATGTGATAAATATTAAATAATATGATTTTATAATTAATATTATAAATTATACTAACTATTTAAGATATTAATATTATTATATATATTTTCGGGTCGGGTCGGGTCGGGTTTTCGGGTCGGACAGCTTTTACAACCCGACCCGAGCCCGAACCCGAGAAATTTTTTTTTGATGTCCGAACCCGACCCGAGCCTCGGGCCGGGCCGGGCCGGGTCGGGTCGGGTCGGGTCGGGTCGGGTCGGGTCGGGTCGGGTCGGGCTACGGACAGCCCGTGCAGTTCTCTAGGTAAAAGTTATCTCTAGTAATATTTGGGGCTGTATATGTTGTGGTTGTATTTGTTGAATTGTATTAGCTTGTTTATTCAAAAATAATTATTTTGTTTGTTACTTATTGATTACTAGATGAGCTACTGGGTTGGCTAATATTCTGATCTATATTACACTGAGAATCTTTATCTAAATTAATGTATGTAATCTAGATAAGTTTAGTATTAAATATACCTTCAGCTGTTGGATGATTTTGTGTCACTCTAAAAAAATATTTTTTTAAAAATCAAATTAAATATATCATACTTTGTAATGATTTATTTCTTCTTTTAAAAAATAGTCTTAAATTATCAGCTACAGTATTAAGCATAATGTTTTTAAATGATTTTAATTTACCGCGATTAAATAGACCAATCAGAGAAAAATGGACAAAATTTACGATCAAATGACTTTACGATCAAAGTTAGGCAAATCTAAATTTATTGTAATTGAATAATATAATATAAATATAACAATTAGAATATATTTATTTATAATTAAAATTAGCCTTTAATAATAAAATTTTTTCTAAAGAGCTCTTGATGGTAAAGGTGTGTATTCAATAAATGTTTTTTTTAAATTAACATAATTATTAAAAATATTCACAGAATCATCATTAGAATAAAAAAATTATTAATGGAAAGAGCATTTTGTGACGAGTTTTTCCCAAAATAAGTATCGATTTCATCCATGCATATATTTAAAGGATCTGCATGTGGTTGACCCTGTGTATTTTCTAAATGGGCAATTAACCTTTCTTTTAGCAACAAATTGTGGCAGATTAATAAAAGGCTAATTGAGCTTAAACTTTGGGTAAATTATTGATGCCAATATATTAATGTCATCATATAGTGAAGGAAATTAAAATTAATAAATGATAATTAATCTATTATTAAATAAGTGTACATTCATATAAATCAGGTATCTGTAAAAGTTAGCCCTTCAAATTTTACAGTCAGGCCTGACCAATCTTCGGTATAATAGGGTAATTCCATGACAAATCGACCAGCGAATCGGCCGACCATATCTTATTAATAAATGAAACTTGGTATGTTAGTTATTTATGTTGTAAATGTTAATAAAATCAAAAATTTAGAGTGCTAGCATAACCAGATCCAAAGATATACGCCTTCAAAGTGGAAAATCTCGAAGTGTTTGATTACATTAAATCTTGTTATTTTAAAAAACACTTAAGATAGAGTTTCAAATTATATATCATTTTATAGCCCTTAAAATTTTACGTTGGAAAATATTTAAAAAAATTTAAGTGTTTTCTTATTTCCGGTAAAAATAAAAAATTAACATTGTTAGGAAGGGATTTTTTTTGGCTGTTAATATTTACTAAAAATGTTTATTACCTTTATATTAAACGATTTAATGAAAAATCTCGATAGCCATTTTTGTTTTTTTAATTTTATTTAAATTATCATTATTTATAAATAAAAAAATGTAATATATATGGCGTTATATTAATTTTTTTTATAATATATAATTTTTAATAAAAATATGAATAGTATTGTAATTAAAATTAAAAAATTAAATGAGTATAACCAAGAATGATGTCCTGGTGCGACATGTAAGCAAATATTATTTTATTGACGCTATATTATAAAATAAACATATTTTAAAATTTTATATTCAAACTATTATATTTTTGCGCTTATTAATAGAAATTCCTCCATAATTTGTAGATATATCCTTTCATTGTTGTGGATCTACTATCGTTATTATTTGAAAATAACGATTTTATCAGCTTATTTTTTTTTATTCCTATCATCGCTACCAATCAATCGTCATATATTTCAAAACAAACATTTTTTAGAACCAAATGAATTTATGATAATTTGTGATTTCTATGAAAATTATGCAATAATTCCACTGGAATAATAATCAAGCCACTATCCATCCTATGATAGCTTATTATAATATTAATGGCAATATAGAAAACCTTAATTATATGGTAATATCAGAGTCACTTTAACATATTATTGCAGTACATTTATACCAAACTAAAATGATAAAATTTTTAACCAATCAATTCAGCAAAAAGCTAAACAAAATATATTACTGCTCTGACGGATCTGCTGCCAATATAAAAACAGATTTTTTGTAAATATGTGTTATCATGAATCAGATTTTGGTGTAGCAGGTGAATGGCATTTTTAAAGTTAAATCCCATGGAAAAGGTCCATGTGATGGCCTTGGCACATTAAAAAGATTAGCAGCACGTTGAAGCATTCAGCGCATCAGTTCTGGACACATTTTAACGTTAATTTATATCAATTTGCAAAACAAAACATACCATCGGTAAATTGTACATATATAACCAACGAACAATACAATTTACAAGAGATTAAACTACGAGAGAGATTTAATATGGCTCGTCCCATTCCAGGAACTCTGGAAATACATACTGTATTTCCTTTGAGTTTAAGTAATCTTAAATCAAAAATATATTCATATGCAGAGGACTTTCAAATTAACAATATCTCAAATGTCGATAATTTGTATTTTGCAATTTGTCTAATGCCGATATTAAAGGATCCGTAACATGTGTATATGACGATTTTGGGTAATTAGCCACAGTACTAAAAAAGGATAAAATTACTGAGGAGATATATATTTCCTTTTTACATCCCCATGGCCATCCTTCTTTTACCCTACAATTGCGGAAAAGATATGGTTACCCATTAATCAAATAATAACAATAGTAGATCCTATTACAGTGATAGCCGTACTTACAAATTATTGTTTCAATAAATTCTATTAATTAGAAATGGGATAAGATTAAAACAAGAGGTATTTATTTTCATATTGTTTGTGTATAAAATTTTAAATTATGTTTATTTTACAATATATATAGCGTCCTAATAAAATCATATCTGTATGGGCTGCCTGCTTACATATCTGCCCAGGATATCATTCTTGATTATACTCAATTGATTTTTTAATTTTAATCACTATTCATATTTTTATTAAAAATTATATATTATAAAAATCTAATAATATAACGCCATCTTTATTACATTTTTTTTATTTATAAAAATAATATAAATTCAAATAAAATTAAAAAAACAAAAATAGCTATCGAGATTTTTTATTAAATCGTTTAATATAAAGGTAATAAACTTTTTAGTGAATATTAACAACAAAAAAAATCCCTTCCTAACAATGTTAATTTTTTTTTACCTGAAATAGGAAAACACTTAAAATATTTTATTTTTCTTTTAAATATTTTCCAACGTGAAATTTTAAGGGCTATAAAATGATATATAATATGTAACTCTCTTTTGAGTATTTTTTAAAATAACAAGATTTAATGAAATCACGGACTTCGCGATTTTCTATTTTGAAGGCGTATATCTTTGGATCTGGTTAAGTTAGCACTTTAAAATTTTGATTTTATTAACATTTACAACATAAATAACTAGCATGTCAAGTTTCATTCATTTTTAAAATGGTTGGCCGAATCGCTGGTCGATTTGTCATGGAATTACCCTATTATACAGATGATTGGTCAGGCCGGACTGTAAAATTTGAGATCCTTTTATTAAAAAAAAGTCAATCCAGGAATTCGATCCTATTTTTTTCAAAAGATCGTGACCGGGATTCGATCTTTTTAAAAGGATCGATTAACAAGCCTGGTTGTTATAGTGAATTATTTATAAAAATACTTATCAATAGGGGATTTACATTGTTCTAAGGTATGATCCTAGGTTTCTGTTAACTTACCTGATTGGGAAATACCCCGTCCAGAACTACTTCTTTTTCTACATCGGTAATATGATGTGGAATTTATTACCCTATGCATAGAATATTCCAAATCATTAAAACATAGAATATATCCTCTTTTTGGATTTTTTATTAGTAGTTTTGTTTTCTAAAATTACATTACTAAATTGATTATATCTAGATTGTTAACTTTGAATTAAATTGGGATTAATTCTTTTCTCAAGAACAATTTCAATTATGATTATAAATAAATCTATTTTTAAACTATTACTTTTCCCGCACTTTAATGAACCAATCACAGAATTGTACGAAATTTTACGATGAAGAGTCCATACGATCATAGGCACGGAAATCATTTAATTAGCGATAAAAATAAATATGGATGCCGTAAGTTAATATGTTTTGAAATATTATATTGCTTTTAGACCAAAGATTATTTAAGAAGAAACCATATCAGGGTTACGGGTATTGATAGCTTCTCCCCAATATTTTCTCTTGATGACGCACCTTTTGATAGTATTGAAATCATTTTAATATATGTTAATGTTTTTTAAAGGTAGAATACTTGAGATCATGAAAGCACAATCTATAATCTCACCTACACCCATTCAAAGTATATGCTGGCCTATTGCTTTGGAGGGTAGAGATATGGTAGGAATAGCTCAAACTGGATCAGGAAAAACATTAGCAGTATTATCTTTTTAGGAACAATATATATTAATTATTTTTAAGTTTATGTTACCAGCGCTTATGTATATCCTAAAGCAACCATCCCCGGGAGTTGGTGATGGCCCAATAGTAATATATTTAATTTATAATTTTTTAGCATATTAATTAAATATATCAAATTACATTATATGATGTTTTAATTGCAAGTTAATTAAGGCAAATAAGCAGATAGCTTATAATAAACCTAACTTTTTAAATGAATAATTTATAAGCCATAAATTAATAAATAAAATTTACCTAAATATTTAAGTTTAGGCTAAATTGATTTATTTTTGCAGAACCTTTTCTCTTTTTTTGTTTTTAGTTTTTTATAAATTTAATAAATTAGATTTTATAATAATGACAATCATTTATAGATATGAGTTAAAAATATTAATTATATTGCCAAAATGATAGTTTATAGTCTATAGAGTATACTTTATTAAAAGTAATATTTTATTTAAACTTATGGCTATGTTATATTTTTGCCTATATTTAATTACCTATGTGTAGATCTCAGATCAGGCAGTTTTTTTTTGTCCATAAACATCTTGGAATATTGATATATTTAAACTCATTATAAAATAGTTATAAGGAGAAATTGGAAATTTTTTATTAGGATCAGAAATTTTTTTTAAAACCCCTATTTGATTTACCATTACTGACCTCTCCATGATATATTTTTGTTACATAACTTATTTTAATTAATCCAAGATGGTTAAAAATTTACTCCTATCTTGTGTAAAAGCTGATATCTACACATTTCAAATTAGGTCATTTTAATATAAGCAAAAACATTTGCACAGCCATAATTAAACTACAACACAAAATTTAAATTCACCTAATTGTTATTTTTTTCCTACAAAGCCTAATCCTATTTTTATTGGATTTCTTTGAACCAAATTAGTTTAGTTGCTAAGCAAGCCGTTAATATTAGACAAAAATTAAATTTAGGAATACCCATTTTGATGTAATATAATGTGAATCTGTTTAATAAATATTTTATATTAAAACAAAAACATTGCTCCCAAATCAAAAATGCTGCATATAATTGTTAAAAATCTATTTGATCATTGAAACATTTAATCACACTCAATCATCTACTCTGACTAAAAATTGTTAAACATGAATTTAGTGTTTAGTAATGTGCCCCACCAGAGAATTAGCCCAACAAGTTCAACAAATTGCCTCAACATTTGGTTCACCATTGAACATACATAATGCATGTATATACGGAGGATCTACTCAAAAGAAACAGACAATGGAATTGCATAACAGTAAGTGAAAGATTGTATTATGATAAAATAAAGAGTGTTATTTGTGAAATTAATACCAAGGATCTGATCAATCTCCCATTTCAGGTAATCACAGGTAACAAAAATACATGGAATGTTTTAAATTTGGTATAAAGTTTATCTACTCAATCCACATTATATTGATTTTGCCAACCTTTATAGATGGAATATATCAGGTTTGCGCTTAGCTTATGAGAATATGCCTCTGGCTTGGTTTAGTTTACCCATGTTTATTAATTTTAAAATATTAATAAAACATGTTATTACATAATAATATACAGGACTTATGCTTCTCTCATTTGTTTTATTTTTTTAATTTATACATTTAAAAATTTTAATAATAAAAACAATATTTATAGGTCCTCATATTGTCATAGCTACACCTGGTAGATTGATAACCTTGTTGGAATCATGTGAAACATCACTTAACCTTTGTTCTTTTCTGATTTTAGATGAAGCAGATCGTATGCTAGATTTGGGGTTTGAACCTCAGATCAAAAAAATTATGGAATACATAATGGTTGGTAATCTTTACTTTTTTGTATAGTCATTTCATTCTAATCAAAAAATAAGATATTTATATTAATATTGGTGACATCAATTTGGGCCAGTATCACCTAGAGCCCTGCATGCACAGGTCCAACTCTTGAACAGATTTAGACCTTGATTTTAAATTTTGTTTCAGACCAGACTGACTATTTTGTTTTCTTAATATTTTTTTAAGGATAACATCAAGATATTTACTATCTTTCAGTACTTATCATTTTAAATTTCCTACTTTTTAGCAGTCCATTAAAAATGATTTGGATCTGACTTGGGCATATTTCTTAAATTAAATTTGACTTGCTCAGATAAAAATTCTTGTATTAGCTGGACAAAAAATTTCTCTGGATAGATTGGCAACTGAAAAATATGTCCAATCCAGGGCTTTTATATTGGCTAAAAAGGTGGTATTGATGCATATATTGTTATTAGTTAAAAACTAAATCAATTTAAATATAAAATTTTTAATCGAAGTCAATAATTGATAATTATTGGGAAACACAAAAATGGAAATTTTGTTAAACATGAGCATCTTTTCCTAGTAGGTTTAAAATTAAATTTTTAAAATAACTTAAATGATTCATCAAAAAATTTAATTATGTTTATGAGCTATATATAGATATTTTAATACATTTAAAAAAGTTTTTTTGCTTGAAAATTTTTATTGCTACATAATATATCTAAAGGTAATATGTGAATTTTAAAAACAATTCAAAATGTTTTACTTCAAAAAAATTTATCTAAATATTAAATTTAAAATATATGTAGAAACACACTTTATTGCATTGAAACATTCATATATAGTGCCATCTATACATTATATCTATTCTTCATAATATTTTAAGGAAATTATGTAGCCAAGCTTTGAAGAAAGTTGTAGAAAAAAATTACAGCTCATATTTATTAGGAAGTATTAATTTTCTACTGGGATTAAAAAAATTTTGATTTATTCCTTTTAGTATTGATTTTAATTGTTAATATTAGATTCATTATTTATATATTTAATTTTTAATATTAACTAACTATTTAACATAAAAGAGTAGTCAATTTTTATATTTTTAATCTTCATTATCTCAAGTAATATAGTTGTTGATGAGTTAAAATTTTATTTTTTATCTAATTAGAACATTTTGTAACTGAAATAGGTGAGGAGAATTCTAATCAAAGTTTCCAAAATTTACATTTACTATCAATCAAATTGCTTTTAAATATGAATAAATTAATCATTAACAAACACAAAAGTTTATCAAGACCATTATAAATTTTTATAGCCCAATAGAAGAACCTTAATGTTTAGTGCAACTTGGCCTACAGAAGTTCATTCGTTAGCCTCTGATATGTTAAATGATTATGTAAAAGTTGTCATTGGGGAAAAAGAGCTTACAGCCAACAAGAATATATGCCAAATAATCCACATGTGCCAGGTTATTTTTAACACTTAAAACAAATATAGTATATAACTTTTAATGGCTATTCTACTGTGATAATATATTTATTTTTGAGCCTAAAGATTTAAATATTAGTCTTTTAAATTAAAATACATATTGCTTAATAAGATATAACACTGCCATTTTTATTGAAAAGCATTATTAAGCACAAATAAATATAACATTAGATGGGTAGTGTTTGCAATGGTCCAGTCCGGTCCCTTTTTCCTAAAATAAGACTGGACCAATGGGCCATTAAGTCTAATGAGATTGGACCGTGGGACCATTGGTCCGGTCCCATCTAATTTTTTTATTAAGCTACAAAAGTTTATTTAGCATTAATTTTATTTCAATATTTTTAATTATATCAAAATCATTTTTATTATATTATACAATACATGCCTAATTATATAAAAGAATATTAAAATAATTTATTTCATTTGATTTACATAATTAATTAGTTATATATATATATTGCGATAGATATTTGATTATTTACATGTTTTCCCAGCTTTATCTTTTTTGAAAAATAAAGATCTTTCACATCCTGTAAAGAATTTTTTTTCCAATGATGAGTGTTGTGGTTCATCAATAGTTATTATTTCATTCATTTATAAGTAAAATACTAACTAAATATTGAAACGGAAGAATATAAAAGTAAAAGGTGAATGATATATTATAGTGTTAGGCATTAAATAATCATGTTTATGTGTTCATAAACATGGCAATGGGCATTAACTAAAAAACAATTCATAGTAAAGTAAGTAAACTTTTATCTTCTTTAATGGGTCTTCGGTTGGACCCAGACCATAGGACTGGGTTGTGGGTCAGACCGGACCATTGCAAAGATACATTTCCATTTTTTTCACCAATCCAATATTTACCATCTTTTTTTACCTTTGTTTTCCAAATATCATTCTTTTTTAATTCTATTGGTCCATGATCATATATTTTTAATTACTTACATTTCATCAAATTTTTCCCAAGTGTCTTTTCCGTGATGAAAACAGCACCACTTTTCTGAAAATAAATGATTCTATAATGATAATTCCATGATTTCTTTTATTTCATAAATCTATCACTATAATAATAGTGCCACATGATACAATTCTAAAAAGAACTAAGATAAAAAAATGTTATATATCTTTTATTCGAAATCAATTGAAAAACGTCCATAAATGCCACTTATATATCAACAGATAAATAGTAACAATGATACACCAACAATATATAAGATATATATTCAATCCTCTAACAAGCTCCTATCAACAAAAACCCAACGGGCATTTCTGGTGGTCTCCTCACCCTCTGAACCAGGATTTAAAGGACTTCTTCCTAGTGGCTCCCATCTCAGTGTCATTTAATATCACACCCAGACAGTCTCCAGACTCCCTAAATCACCCAGCCTGGGCTCCAGATTCCCCAGATCCATCACTTCTCGCTGACTGTTCCCCTATTCAGGCTACTCTGGACAATCTTCATATGATGGGCATCAATCTAACTTAGCCAGGATCGCCAACTAACTCGCATCTCTTCTGGTCAAATCCACCACTGGCCATTTCCGCCTCTTCCCTAATTTATCTCTTTAGCTACTGAGCACCTCTATCTTCTGTCGCTTCCTTTCTGATTCTTATTTCTCGCACCTCCACCATTGGTCTGGATTGAGAGCCCATTAGAGCCTGAATATCCAATACTCCCTCCCCTCACTGCCCATTTCCTCACCTCTCCAAATTGCATGGACATAGATATTGTGCATGCCCACTTTCATGGCTTCAGTAACATCGACTGAGTCTCATATAGGCTGCACTTGATAGAATGGTGTGCCTCTGGCTTGTCTATCTTTCCATCTTCTTGCTTACACAATGAGCTGTTCGAACTTGCCACATACCAAATTCAATTCACTTCCAATAAATAGCAAGTTACTTTTTTTTAAAAAAAACATTTACATATCAACTAATTTTTACAAATTAAAAAATTTTTTTTTACTTTGGAACAAAGGAGCTAATATTAGTTTCAACTATGCCTAACACAAAAAATAAATATATATAATTTTTACAATTTTACAACAAAAAAAATTGTAACTAAAGCATTAACAATTTATTCTTCTTTTCTTAGCTCACGCCTCCTTTCAATAAGCATAAATAGTTTTTAGTTGGTACACTCTTAGGTAACTAATTATCTCCCAAACAAATATTCATGGGTAATTAATTTTCTTTTCCCCAACATGACGCCCCATTTTCTACTCTCCAACTATTATCAAAAACAAAAAATATTTTGCATATAAACCCTCTGGGAGCAGGGGTACAAATGACACTTAATGAGGTGAGCTCAATCCAGTCGAATTATATATGACAAGGAGACAATACTCAGGATACGAAGCATTTATTGGTTGTAAATATTGGAAATATGGTGTCGTAAGTATCAGAAAGACGGGAATAGATATTATAAAATATACATATTGGAAATTCAAGAGTAGATATTAAAAAAAATATATTGAAAGTTCAGGTATAGTGCGGTTTTCATCCATCTGGTGTCTCCAACAAAATTAAACGGAAAACAAAAAGAAGAGTTAAAAGCCTAGTCACTGATTTGGAAAATAAATATAATATTTAAATTTTTCTATGGAAAAGAAATTAATTAATTTTAGGGAAAGGAACAAATGTCAAAAAATTAGTATTCGCATATATATTTATAGAACGTTTGGTTTATATGCATGATTTTTTTGCTTTAGACTATTGTTGGAAAGAAGAGAATGGAGTGTCATGTTGGGGAAAAGAAAATTAATTACCCAAGAATATTTGTTTGGGAGATAATTAATTACCCGAGAATGTTACCTTATAAAAAGTATTTATGCTTATTAGGGAGGCGTAAGCCATGAAAAAAAGGAGCATAAAAAAATATCAATGGAAACGATTTAGTAACAATTTTTTTGTTATTAAATTGTAAAAATTATATTTTTTTGTTTGAAACTATATTAGCTCTCTTGTTTCTAAGTAAAAAAAAATTTGAATTGTAAGAATTAGTTTATATGTAAATGTTTTTTTAAAAAAAGTAGACTTAATAGAAGTGAATCGAATTTGGTATGAAGACGAGTTCAAAGTACAGCTCATTGTGTGACCTAGAAAATTGGAAGCCACCCGAGTGAGAGGCACACTCTCCTCTTGAAGCCTATGGGAAACTCACGGCAGTGTTACTGGTACCATGAAAGAGGGCATGTACAATATCGATGTCTGTGGAATTCGGAGAGAGGAAATGGGTGAGGATGAAGTAATTATAGCTAGAGAGAATAATTGTGGAAGAAGCACGGATATGACCAGTGGTGGATTTGACTAGAAGGAGAGCAAGCCTGGGTGGTAGTAATAACTGAAATAGTAAAACGCCCATTGGATGGAGATTGAGGGTAGCCAGTGTATGTGACGGAATGTAGTCAGCGAAAGTGACAGATCTCGGGAATCTGGAATCTGAGCTGGATGATTAGAAGATTTGGCGATGGAATTGGGAGTCTGGATGGGTGATATTAAACGACAAATAGGTGGGAAGCCTCTTAAAGGAAGAGGGAATTACAGTTAGGAGAGTGAGGAGATTACAGGAAAGGTCCTACATTTGGGTTTAATCGGCGGGAGCTAGTTAGAGGTTAGAATATTTATTTTATATTGTTGATGTTAAATCATTATTACAATTGTAATATTTGTAGTTAATCGATTATTATTATGTGGATTTAATCGTTTATTTTATCTATTCTGAAAGAAAAATAAAAAAATATTAATAAACAAATCTTTAATAAATTTATATTTATCAAGGGGGAAAAGAAGTATAAAAATTTTGATTTTTATATTATTGATGATTATTTTAATTATGATTTTTTTTTACTTGTCTTTGGATTTGTAATAAAAGGTATATTATAATAAAAGTTTCAATCACTTTCCCCTTAATTAGTTAAAAAGTTAATTAAAATAATCATTAATAATATAAAAATATTTAGGTTTTTATACTTCCTTCACCCTTGTTAAATATAAATTTATTAATGACTTGTCATATTTTTTTCTTTTCGCGATACACTAACTTACGCGATTTCAATACAGTTAATAATAATAATCTATTAAATACAAATAATAATAATCGATTTAACAAAAATATAGTAATAATCGATTAATTACACATAATAATAATCGATTAACTAGAAATACTACAATTGTAACAATGATATAATATATTTTAATGTCTAACAATTTATTTTATCAATATAAACTCTTTCTCCGTCTGATACAACCTTCATAGTTGCATGTGATTATAACTGCCTATCACTAAAATTCTCTCTACTATCATCATTTTTCCATCCTCCTCACTATGATTTCCATTATCATTCAAAATTTATTGATACTGTTATATAATGTTTATTCTTCAATATCTAACAATTAATATCTGCACAATGTGTTTTACAATTAGTTATAACAGTTATTATAGTAATGTGATCCGTTTTAATTTAATGATATTCAAAGATTTTAAAGTTATTATGAAAATTAGGCAATATTGTAAGAAATTTTTAAAATAATTAATACTCGTTTGAGTTTCCAATGTTCTAATATTGGAACATGAAATAATAAATTATTTAACAAAAATTGCTTAATTAATAATGTGTAAAAAATAAATTTGTAAATATTTTTATAAATTATACAGTTTAAATTTAAAACATTTACCTGTTCTTAATCATTTTTTAAAACAAAATGGACTTAATACAAATCATGATATCTCATTTTAATTTCTTCCCTAATTTTTGAATATATGTCTTAAAGGTCTGCATTTTACCGGGTTTTAGCCCACCCACCCATGTCCACTCATCTAAGTGGGTGGATGAGCATGTTAAATTTTTTTAAAGAATGGGCATTCAGGTGGGTGTGTTAAGTTAAATTTTTAAACTATGGGTGAGTTAGATTTGTTATTTAAAATCATTTAATATACATTAAAAAATAACCTCCCTTAAATTTCTACATTTTTAA